ATGTGTGTGTGAATGGGTGAATGGTGTATGATCTCCTGTAAAGCGCTTTGGCCAGTGTAACACACTGTGAGAAAGCGCTATATAAATACAGTCCATTTACCATGATCAAATGTCCCTTCTGGATGCAATGGAGGCTGGCTGCAGAGACATCTCAGCTGAAGATTGCCAGGGGTGGATAAGGCATTCTAAACGTTTCTTTCCAAGGTGCATAGCAAGAGACATTATAAGGTGTGATGTTGATGAGAACATGTGGCCAAATGCTGATGATCGTGTAGATTAGGACTTTTTGGTCTGTCATTTTGTTTTATTTTTGTCTATTGTTGTAAACACAGGGCAAAGTGCTTTTTTCTGTGATTACTGATAGCAATGTGCAAATGCCAATACCGTAAAGCCTTTACTGCAGCAATTCTGTCCTTTTTTTATAATCCATAAAGTACTGATGGCTCCACTGTACATATACTATATGAAATTTATCCACACACACAATTTTAGTGTGTTTACAGTAAGGCTGACTGAATTACTGTATTTCTACATTTTTGGATATCAAAGATGGTTTACATATTGTATAGAGTTCAATGAGAAGTAATGTAATTTTTGTAATGTGATTACTTTTTCACATTTTGACAGTCTGTGCACTATGACTGACTATATGTTCCTGTTGGATAGAAAACTAGTGCTAATGTTTTGATCAAATGACTCAATTATGAGCCAGGTTTGCTGTGTTTTGATAAAATTAGTATATGTAGAAAATGGTATTTTGCATTGTGAAATGTAAAGTTTGTATTTATTTAACAAAATGTGGTTTTTGTCCGAAAATGAACCATTTGGCCAGGTGTGTGATGTAACTGTGTTGCTGTGTTAAGAGTTTAGAAGAAGTATTTTAAGTATTGGTTAATGCTTGTTAGCAACAGCAAAAAAACTGTAATAGTGATAACTGTTTGGAGCTTTACACCAACTGTCTAATACTTAATTGTTCTTTTTTCCCCACTGAGTACTATTTAATAGTGATAATGTAATCACAGTGGGTTTCTTTTTTAAAGAAAGATCCACTTTTATTTAAAATTAATGCCAAGCTAATGTCCACTATGTTGGCTACTGTATTGAAAATACAGATACCATCACCTGTCTTCAGCCAGTTGGTCCCCTTTTGTGTCTGGGTAGAAGGACATATCTGGAGGCTACCACCATAATTGCTAATCAACCTGGCTGGCTGCGTTAAGGGGAGACTATCCAAATACTGCCAGTGAACATAACATCATTACCACATCAAATTAAATGGGGGGGGGTGTATTCTTCAGTACAAAAGCAATTTAAAAATATAAACATATTACCAACATCATTTAATAATTACAATATGAGCTAAAACCGATTCTATTGCAGTGATAATAGAGAGTTAGTATAAGGCTTGTATTTTGATAAACACAAATGTACTAAAAATGTGCATAATGATATAATTGTTAAAACTAATTTTACTCATTGTGTGACACTTGTGGTAAGCAAAGGGACAGTCCTCTGAGCTGTCAGAGTGATGGAGAGTAGAAACAAGGACTGTGGCACACACGGCTGATAAAAAAGGTCATCCTATCCATCCTTCCCACTCATCTTTAAAATCAATCAATGGTGATGAGAATAACTGAAGAGATTTCTGGTCTTGTTTTATACAAAAATTACACTTCAGGAAACTGTACTGTATATCATGAGTAATTTAAGACAGAAAAAACGCTCAAGACAAGAAAACAGGAAAAAAGGAAGGATAGTTGAGCCAAGCTGGTCCAGAGCCGTCTTCCTCTGCTCCTCGGCGCCCAGTAACGGACCGACAGAAGAGAGGAGTTGGTGGGCGGACACAGTCATCTACCCGGGGTTGTTTTTCTTCCTTTTATTTGGACTGGGATTGGGATCCAGTTTCAGCTCTCTGTACTGCACCTGTTAAAACACACAGTAACACATGCACACACATGCACACACAAACACACACAGCACCCGGTCAGGTGGAAAGAGCAAAGGATGCTTGAATAGCACAGAAACCCTCCAGAGGCACTCTGAGTCCAGCTGTGTGGAACAGTGGCCTCAGGGAAGGGATTACACACTGATTACAACACACACTAACACACACCTACACACAGATGTGCATAAAGACACTCACGTGTCTATACACACAAGAACACAATCCATTTACACTGTTCCAAGCTCCACATACACTCCTGCTTGTGCATAGACACACACAAACGCATGTATATACTGTAAATACTTCCACAGATGTGGAACAGTGGCCTGAGGGAAGGGATCACGCAAACAAACAGAACAGGGCAAGGGCTCATGGGAAAGCTTGGAGAGACAACAGAGTCATCTGAGTATGGTAAGATGGTGAGGAGAGAAAGGGCAGGGTGATGGGAAGGAGACAGAAGGTAGAAAACAAATGCACTAACCCTTTCAAAACCAAAGTCAGTGCTTAGCTGGTGGTTATTCTTCCTACAACACATTAACATCAGCAACTTAACTTCTGTGACAAAAACCCAAATAATTATTAGTACAATGCAATATAAATGTTAATTAGTGAGCTTTAGAGGTGTCTGTAGGTGGATTTTATTACCTTAGGACGTGTTATCCCCGTTTCTAGTCATTATGCTAAGTTAGCCAGTGCTTCATACTTAATGAGTGTATTGTTCTCATCTAGCTGGCAATAAGAAAGCAAACAAGTGTCTTCCCCTAAATGTTAAATTGATTCCTATAATCTTATAATTTACCAAGACATTAAATATATAATGACTATTTTTAATCACAGTTTTACTGCATTACTTAAAACTGACATTTCAGTGGCACATTGCAATCACTTCAGAGGAAGCGTCACCTGTTTCGCCCAAAAGGAACTGAGTCCCACTTGATGTGCTGCATTGCAAAGATGGTGAGTGAAACTGAAAAAGAAAACCCTCTTAAGTGACGGACACTCAGATGCAACAGCATCACAGTGGATGATTGTCAACAACCAGAGACTGTCACTTTGCAAGTCTCTCACTTTCAGATGTACACACACGTGCATGCACACACAAATGCAGTCACTATCCTAGATAGATTCAAGGCACTGACAAGCACTAGCCACTGAATCAGAATACTAATAGAAAAAAAAAAACTTAACAGTCACAGCACCAAAGAGCCAGTATTGTCTGAGGGATCCCTCCGAGGCTGATGTACTGTAGGCTACTCTACCTGTCTGACTGACTGACACGCTCTCTGATTTTCCAGGCAGACAAGAAACTGGCGTCAATATGGCTTCTCTGTTCTGTCTCATGGTGGGTCTGTCTGCTGTGGACGGGAACAGCAGCGTCTCTCAGCGCTGGCTGGAAATGAGCCTTTATCATCCCTATTCTACTGGTTTACACTGTCGCTTCAATTACGCTTTCCAGTATCCTCTGCCTGCAGTGTACAAATCTGAGATGCAAAGACACATGTTTGTGTGTGTGCTCTCATAAGCAAATATACATTTACACATATGAATACCAGCATGTACACACACACACACACACACACACACACACACCCTTGCCTCCCTCATCACACATAACTCCCTGCCACCCTTGCATCCCACCCAAATCCACAAACTACACACACACACACGTACTGTGGGTGTATTTCTGTTCCTCTGTCTCACAGTGATGATCACCGATGTCCTGTTAAGGTGCTTACAAGGTGGTTAGGCCAGCATGTGTTGCTCTATACGCCTCACTAGGCAGCCAGAATGCAGTGATTCAGATCTCGATATTCCTCACTGTCCAAAGGTAAACTAACATCCTACTAAGCAGCTGGACAAATACAACCTGTTTGCTGGATACGGTGAGAGAGGAGAGAGAACAGGAAATTGTCAGAAAGGCAACAGGGAAGTAATTCAGGTGTATAAAACAAGGGAGGAAAGGAATGATGGGAAGTGAGAGAATGAAGGAACAGAGATGGAGAAATGAAGCGAGGAAGGGCAGAGGGCAGGACACACTAACAAAGGAAACAGAAGAGAAAACAATGAGAGTGAGGAAGAGACTGGGTGAGACGGAGGGAGATCTGTGGACACTCGGGTGATGACAGATACTGTTCTCATGTGGGTGTGGAGCCTTTAATAGCCCTGCCAACTAAAGCAGACAACGGAACAAAAACCCAGGGGACAGAAAGGGATTTATATGGTCCCATCTGTGTGTATGCATTTGTGCAGTGGTTGTTTCATCAGGAGACTATGGGAGCCCTGGCAGAGTGCCCACATTGACTGTGATCAATGACAGTGGTGCATCCATGGACCAAGAAGTGAGTGAATGGTTGAATGATTTAATTCACTCATGAACGGACGAGTAAGACAACATGCATGTAGCGGAGTTACACGAACATACTGTGTATCTGTTAAAATCAAATAACTGCAAACATTCCACCTATGGAAATGTGCCTCTATATGCAGCTCATTCTCACTCATTGTCTGTTGAAAGCTTCAAACAAGATGCGGTGGATCCCAAAAGTAGGACAGGTATTGTGCGGGATCACTGGCTGTTAGTGGTGCCATTATACGGCCGAACTCCTACAGCAGCAAAAAAGGAACGCAGCAATTTAATTCTGAGCGTCTGCATTCCTGTCCAAACAAAACTCTTTGTTAGCGCACACAAAGAAAGAAAAGTTTGCATGTCAGTAAAAAGTAGTGTTTTGCTTCTCATGAAGAGTAGCAAAGGGAATTGACAAAAAGAAAAGGTGCAGGAAAAAAACAATATCTCAATCAAAAAGAGTTTCTCTGTGAAAGGCTGCCAGCCAGGAGAAATGGGGCTCATGTGTCACAGGTTCAATTCCACCTTACAGGTGACAGGTCTGCTATACCCTTGGCTCCCCGCTCACCTTAACCTAATAATACACACACAGGCAGCAAACCAATGAACACAACAACAGATAGTTAAAGTCAAAAACAGAAGAAAAGGCAGAGGAGGCAAGGAGAAAGTGGGACGTTAGCAAAATAAAAGAAGCCAGAATTGGGTGAAAGTAAAAAGTGAAGGAATGCAGCAAGCACATACAGTAAGCAATTTGGTACACGAGTGTGGGGTTTAAAGGGAACATCGGCAGGAGAGGCAGTGGGTAAAGACCCAGCGCTGCTCAAAGGCTCCTCCACCCTCGCTCCTCTCCTCTACTATCCCAAATGTTGACAGTACAAGTGCAAAACAGGCTTTCAAGTGTGCTCTGCTGAAGGGGCGCCGTGTACCGTGCATCATGCTTCGTTTAACTGTTACCCACAAAGCATCCTGGGACCTTCTCCTCTCTCCCTGTCTCACTTTCTCTCATTGAACCTTTGATGTTGCCAGTGTGGGCAGACAGACAAGGCAAAAATCAAGATGGGTGACAGTGAGCAAAAAAAAAAAAGCAAATAGGCAAGTAAATAAATGAAGCCAAAACGACAAGTGAGCTACATTTTAATGATAGTTATTCAGTTTTCAGGTCCTTTCCAGACAGTACAACCTCAGCAGTTTTCATCTCATGCAATGCCTAACGAAAAATAAGGGTTATTAAATCTTTCCAGGGAAGCACTAATGTGTACAGTTCAGACACATGCAGATCGGAGGACTCAGCACTCACATCTATTGTTGAGGGGGAAAAGAGACATGTCAAGGTGACATAAGGCGCAGAGTTGGGGAAAAAAAAAAAAATCACAAAGTAAGGAAAGTTTTGCCTATTAGCTGCAGTGGCGTGACACATACTGAATAGAGACTAATTGGCCAGATAAAATGAAACGTTTAAATTTGTTACAAAAACAGGGAAGGACGGAGTGACGGAGAGGGAGAGAGACCTCTGGTAGATGTGAGTGATGACATCTGGCAACGTTTCAACCTTTAACTATCCTGCCTTTGACCCCTGTTTGTCCAGAGAGGTTTCTTCCCCAACATAAATGTTGTCTAAAAATATTAACCCAACTCCCCGCTGCTCATTAGGCGCTAAATTGGAATTCAGGCTTATTTTTGTACTGGGGGTTTGATCTGGCTCCTTTACACCGATCATAAAGGGCCACTTGGCATGCTAATTGCCTTGGCCCTACTTATGCACTCCCTAGCTCACACGGCTAATAGTGTCGTAAAACATACTAGTGCACTGACACTTCCCAAACGGCAGGTAGGGAATACTTAGCACTGTAAAGGTGCTCGGTTTGGCCTCGTTTAACAGGACATGATGGATTCCTTGATAATGACCATAAAGATAGCTTACGCTGGTAAAAGATCCAAACCAGATCCAAGAAACTGTGACCCAGACAGGGACACAGGCTTTTTCATGCACACATTCACCATGCCAGCTTGTAGTGCTGCTGCTCTGAGAGGTTCATAATTGAAGTAAACTGTTGTGGTGGTACAAAGGTAGATCTGTCTCCCACTAGGGATTTGTTTTTTAAAAGCTGTTGAGAGCTCAGTGACAATGATTTCAGGAGCATTGTTTGAAAGACTAAAGCAGCTTCTGTAAACTGTTGCTGCTAAAGTTTCTTTTAGGTCCTCACTTATGCAGAAATGAAAGATGGGAAATCTATCAGAGTCCAAAAGCTGTTCCACAGTCACTGTGTTGCTCTATAGCTATATACATTATGATGCACTGCGGCCCAGTGTGGTTGCCCTTTGTATATAAAGTCATTAGAACCTCATCAGTTCTGGCTGCACTGAAGCACCTCCAAATGATGCGGAACAGTACACTGACCCCCCCCAACCCACCTCACATGCACAGTGTGTGTGTGGTAGGTCACACTAGGGCCCTGAAATAGCACTTCATTTGTCATCCAGGGTGTCAGGCATAGAGGGCCCCTGCATCAATGCCAGTGGGTGCCATGGACACGTGCCTGTGAGGAGGCGCTCCATTTGGACCTCAGCACCTCTCTGTATCATCCGACAGCCTCAAGGGCTTAATCCCCACAGACAGCTCTGACCCACTAAGGTGGGGGCAGGCAATGAGGCAATGAGGTGTACCCATCACCGGAGGCAGACACAGGACGCACTACAGAGCAGAACGTTCTGGTCTGTTTTTAGCCAACGACAAAGACCAGCATGTCTTCACAGCAAACTAACCTTTGGATTCAGTAAAAAAAATTGATCAGTGCAGGTCCCGGTTCTTAATCAAACTAGTCATCTCCAGTGATCAATCATTTCTACTTGTACCCATTCTTTCTCCTGTTTTTCCTTGTTGAGTTTCACCTTTCCTCCCCTGATATATATTCTGAACCCACTCACCTGGTCTTTCACCCTTATTGCTTGGTATTCCTCCAAACTGTCTGTGAAACCTGGCAACAATTACCATTCCAACAGCTGCAGGAGTAACTGTTACAGTAGCACTTACAGTATTACTTATACACTAGGCACAACTCCAGCAGCATGGCAACAGACCAGAGCACCCTGTCTGCCCTCATCTTCTCAAGCCAGCAGGGCCTCATTAGGAGCCTTGTAAAGGCCTCATACCTGCCAGGCCTGGGCCCCGTCACCACTCCGATGCTCCAGGCTCCAGGTGTGTAAGGCGGCCGTGCATGAGGGTGGACAGCTTGGGCTCATTTACACTGATGGCTACCTGCCTTGTGCCTACTGTTACAACAGACCCCAGTAAATTATAAAACTGCACAGGGGCCAAAAGGGGCGAACGTGGGGGTTGGCAGGGGAGCAAGGATTATAACCCTGTAAAAATGAAAGCACATGTGGGCAACAAGCGATCAAAGAGGAAGTGTGTCAGCGCTGATGTGGCAGTAGATCGGTCGTATCAGAGGCCCTTGGTTGTTCAGCCTCAACCTGCCTGTATGCATGTTTGTGTGTGTGTGTATATAGTCATGTGTGGGTGTCGTGAACTCAGCACAGCAGGGCTTAACAGCCACAGCGGACACCATCGGTGTTGGATAACACAGTGCCTTTCACAAGCTGCTGCTTAATTGCAGTTTAAACTGCACTTTGCTCTTGGTAACACAGCACATTACAGTTAACACACACACACACTTGCACACCTATATTTCACCTAACAAAGCATCGTCAGTCTTCAGCCACAAAGTTAATCTGATCTCATGGATAATGTAAGAGCAAAACCGCACGGGGCTGCTTAACTGCTGGTTTACATTCTGTTCCAGTTGCTTAGCATACCTGGGAACCAACAGCTAACTGTAATTGTGTGCGAGTGCATGTGTATGGAGTCAATCAACCTAGTTATATGCTGGGCAATGAACTCACTTAACCTTGTCATCTTATTACACAGCTAGAGATATGTATGTGGAAATTAAATCAGACTAAGAAGCTATTAATAGGAAAACAGAAATTACTTTGAAACAATTAGATCAAATGTCTGCATGGCTAAAGCATCAGCTAGTCAGGGCAACATGAAAACTACAACAGAGGCTGAGAAGAGGGGGAAAATGAAGAGCAGATAAGAAATGGAGCCCTAACTTTTGCCCATTTTTCTGGAGCTGACAGATTAATTGTAAAAAAGATGAGACAAAGATGAACGGGAAAAGTTCACCCACCACTTGTACATCTGAGGGCACTCTGGACAGAAAGTCTAGCAGCTCGTTGTTGTCAATGGTGTATGGGTCTCGTAGCTTTTTGGTGAATTTATTCACCCCTGTAGGGACAAAATGGTAGGGGCAGGTAGGGAAGAGTCAGGATAGAGAGGTGAACATCTACATGTATTACCATATGCCATACAAATTAATGTTTTACTCCCTATTGTTTCCCAGTACATTACATAAAACACAGCACAGAAAGGAATTTGCATTCTTCTGCCACACAGTGTATTTACATTTTAACTATACCTTTTTAATTAGATGACATATATACAGTACATGATCATAAAAATTCCATATTTTTGACATTCGCTCACCCCAGGCCAACAGAATATATCGTAGAGGGATGAAGTACATGATGACGGTGGCCACTCCAAGAGCCACGATGGCCAGCCAACTTAAGAAAGGCACAGTCCAGTTAAATGTACTGCAAAGAGAGGAAAAAAGTGGGACTGCAAAAATTAGGAGACATGGCAAAGAGCAGCACCCAAACATGCTGAGAATGAATGTGGCCCAGTCAGGAAGGGCTTTTTAATACTTTGATTCGTGGACACCCCTGTATTACCAATTCATTACACTCACCAGAACTGTGCAGAAGGAATAGTACATAGGCCACTACTGCAGGGTGAAAAAGGGCTACGACTAAATAAAATTCACACTGTCCAGTCAGAAAAATGTTTTTTTTTTTAAATTTACCTGTAAAAAGCAATTAGTTCTAAATCGGAACAAAATCCCCTCACTTCCCCTTCCTTTAAATGTATTTATATAAAAGTGAGGCTACCTGTACAGTAAATAAATGTGTCTTTATAGTTATGTGTGTTTAATCAGTATGTACATAATTCAGTTAAGAGGTCATGCAGGATCAAGTGAGATATGATGGACATAAAGACAAACAGCCTGTGTATCTCAGGTGTTGGGTGGCAGTGTTTTCCTAAGAGCAGCACTGAGTTATATTCAAGCTGGTAAGAGGAAGTGGGGCAAACCCCCCCCCACCCAAAAACCCAACACTACTATTTGTGAAGCAGAGCAAAGCAGAGCGGGCCAGGCGCCAAGGGGCGGGCTTACGACTCACTTCTTTATCCTCTCGCCATAGGAGGCCACATCATCCAGTGCATTCTGCACGCTGATGCACACGTCCTGAATGGCATAAAGCTTGTTCATGAAGCTCTTTTTCTCCGAGTCCTGCAAGAGGACAGATACAGATGTAGGCGAGAGAGAAAGAGTTAGAGTGGGACAGAGAAGAGATGGGAGGAAAGAGAAAGAGTAAAGAGAAGACAGAGGCTGGGCACAGGCATCCATGTGAAAACAATACATTTAAATAGCGACAAAGATTTGGAGCGAGGAGCCAAATCACCGGATATCCTGCATGAACTGACTGAGTGCTTTCATTCCAGGCAGAAATAAAGATATAAAGTCAGCAGAACAAATCAAACTGTTTTCCTCCTTACAAAAGCTCACGCGGGAAAATCTGAATATGTGAAAATGGAGACGGAATTAAACGTAAAGTCAAATGGATCTATCAGTCTTTGGGTGCTCTCTCTGCTTCTGCCAAGACAGCTAGGAAGACCATGTAAAGCCCTCTGTTGGTTTGGTGGCTGGCACATTGTGATGATTGTATCACAAACTGTGGCATGATGATCATCCCTTTGGTGGTGGAAGTAGTACTCAGATTGTTCACTTAAGTACAGATACCTGAAAACTGCACTTAAGTACAATATTTGAGTAAATGTACTTAGTTCCTTTCCACCACTGTCATCCTTATTAATGCTGTCACCCACCACGAGGAGCTCTTCCTTAACTTTTGATGGTTGAGACCTTGAGAATATTTTGAGGAGCAGGGGAAGAAACCTCAAAGATGGCTGGCAATTTAAAATCTATAACCTCTGAATCCTTACTGAAACAAAGGAAAGATTTTAAGAAATCATGCAACAGTCAACGAGCTGCCTGTTGACTGACAGGCAGGGATAGGATGGATCTGGACAGAAGGAGGTGACGTTGGCTGGGTGGGGACATCAACACGCAGACCGGCTGTGCCTGGATGTGATTGGTGCGCATGCTTGGGAGACAAAGGGGGTATAACACGAAGTGGATGACTTTCTAATACAATCACAAGAAAATTACAAGACTGTCAATCATCCAGTTCAAGAGCGTTACCACGCTAGCATGCAGACATGTCTAAAAATTCTTTTACTTGCTGATATAACAACAATGATTGTTCTCTCAGTGAGCTGTGGTTTTACCCTATTGTTAGAATAACTATTAAACAACTGAATTAAAGATTCCAGAAACTGTCTTAGTCCTGCTTTGTAAAATGGGGAAAAATAAGGATATTATACAAAATTCTCTATTCAAACCATAAGATTACTATGTAACCTTTCATTACTACCAACTATTTCTTTTGTTACAGAAACAATGTGCATAGCGATAGCTATGACACTGTTGAAGATGGGGGACACTGTTAGATCCAAAGAAAAACTCAAAGTAATACTTTACACCCAAAGAAGACAGTGAAGTGGTCAAAGACCTCAAACCTCCACGACCCAGAGGCCTTTACCACATTGTGCTCCTTAAGGCCAGCCCTCCCACCTCACCACAACCCTCCCACTGAGACCCAAAACAGCTCTCCATCCAGGATCAGATAATGTGAAAAATGAACCATGGAGCAGTCAGGGAGACCACATGGCCTCCTCAGCAAAACCACACAAGACAAATAGATATAATTAGACAGCGTCCCTGGGTTATTTTTCTTCGCAAATATTTTACAAGACTCCCTTTATTTCTTCCTCCCTTTCTTCACCTCAAAGTCCATCTGTTTTTCATTGCTTGCTCAAACAAATCTCAGAATGCAGGGTCTATTGTGTTGGGCTGGGTTAGGCCCAGCCGAACAAGGCTGAGCCAGGTTAGAGGCTTTTATTTTTGGGGCCAGACTCAGGAGAGGGTGTATGAGGGCCAGGGGAGTGGTGTGAGAGAGCAGGCGGGGGTGGACAGGATGGATCAGAGGTCACTGGAGTATAAACCATTGCCACATGCCCCTCGGACTGCGGTCTGACTCCTATTTCCTGTCTTCAAACACGGCTCAGGGAGGCAGGAGGTAGCAATAACACAGAGGGACACGGAGAACCTTGTTTTCCCAGCTTCCCTGCACACTGTGCACATATGGAGCCAGGCAACCTGTTCTTATAATGGAACCTAATATGTATACACACACACACGCCCTACAGCTATTAGATAAGCTTGATCTGCACACCTGGTCTTGCTGTGCGACTTTACAAATGATATTATGTCCTGACGCAGATTAGACGATGAGGGCCCTTGACTTTTACATGCAGTTTCTTCCTCTACTGAGCAAGTTTGTTCTAGACTCCAATGTCATCCCTTACAGAGAAGGGATTGATATAGAAAGGTGAGGAGAGAGAGAGCATTCACACATCACAGTTAAGGTTAAGTGAAGCTTCCCAGTGGCCTGGATATTTAATAGAATGGTGAAATATTTGAATAAGGGAAGTGAGCTTTGTAAGACACACATTTACACATCCTCAAGAATGGAGCCATCACTTGTATAATAGATTAAAACCAAGGACTCACTACTTTACAGGAGGGCCTGTATTTCCATCCGTCTCTTCCTGTGGCTGTCAAGAAAGATAAGTGCTTTTGTTTGGAGAACTAAAGGCAAAGTTAGTAAAATGAAATGCTGCAAGTCATGGTAATGCAGTACGCTACCAATCCCAGCACCTCTGACAACAGTGCTCCAATGGATGATGCCGCATGACTCAACTCATTCGGACAGTGTAATAAGCTTGCCTAATGAGTTTAGCATCATGCATTTTAATAGACTGCAACTGTAGGTTCATCTGTAAAAGGTTACGCTGACATGTTGCAGTAACTGCCAGTTCAGTCTGTGCACTACAAATTGTCATTACAGTCAGATCACACAGCATTCAATCTTGATGAGTTCGTCTGCTGTAAGACAAGTCTGAATATGTGTAGACATGTATACTTTTCTGTCGGGTACACAACATGTTTGCCTGTATACGAGTACAGTACAGTACTTATACAGTACCACTATATGCCATGTCATTACTTACACTTAAACAAAGTAAATCTAATTCTGAAATTAATTCTTAAGACTCAAGGCCTAGTTCCTGCCACAACTGAATTTGATATATGTAAACGAAATGCATCATAATGATACACATATATGATAGGAGCAGTAACAGTAGGTGAAAACAAAATGTATGCATGAATATCAAAACAAAACATTTATATATGTAATCTAGCCAGTGTTGTAGTCGAATCACTAAACCTCGAGTCCGAGTCAAGTCCCTGTTATCTGAATCAGAGCCATCAAGGTCTACATTAAAAAAGTGAGACTGCTCTCACCATTTTATACATTACAGACTTTCTAACAGTGTATTGCATCACCATATTGCTTGGCAATTTGATACATAAAAATCATTTATAAAAAGGTGGAGTGCACGCTTCACCGGAAGTGTGTCGGACACAGCATGGTGCTGGCGAACAGGTTCTAATATCAGTATCTTATGCCAAATTATTAGAACTATTACAAAAAAAGAAACAAAAAATTCAACTTCCGAGTCCAAATGCAGTCAATACTCGAGTCCAAGTCATCAATGCTCAAGTCAGATTTGAGTCTGTGTCCCAGACTCAAGTACTGCAACACTGAATCTAGCACCCTGAGCTGTGGATTGACAGAATATATGAGAGAAAATGTACAGTTTTTTCTTTTTTTTTTAAATTGAAAATCAACATTTAATATAAACACTTCAAATCTTGAGGCCTTTAACACTTCTGTCTTCATCATTTAATGGCCTTCTATTTTCAGGCGTGATCATTTATCGTAGCTCTCCTTTTTGAAAAAACATGTTTATTAATCTACTAGTGCAGGGCCGTGACCACTCAGTGTGATGTGAGCTCAGGGTGAAGTCATACTGTTGTGTATTAAATGAAAAGCACCACTGAGACAATTTATTTGTCCCATGAATGAAATGTTTCTCTGTGCAAAATAACTTCTCTGACATCAATTAACTCTAATCAGGTTAATAGCAGAACTATTTAGTGACTCTGGGTCCTTTGTTGGCAGAAAGTTGCATGCTTTAATTCCATGTGTGCCATTGAAGGAGAATAAATGCATCTTTTGTGGCTATGTCCAAAGTTTGCATCATAGTTCGGATGTGTGAAGTGTGATGTGAAGTCTCAGCCAATCACCCATCAGTTTAGCACTGAGGTACCCTGTTTGTGTTATCAGGCTGCATCACTGGAGTGCTCCCATCAGAAAACACTGTGGCGGGAAGGCTCATTAAAGTGATGCGAGTTGTTTGCATGTGTTAAGGAGAAACAACCCTCAGTGACACCAGAAAGAACCCAGGGACACACACACACACACACACACACACACTGAAACAGCCAAGTCAGTCTAACCACATTGCACTTGCTGCTAAATTGTGGTAAACAAATGTGGTAAACTCTCCTTGAAACACTTGATAAAATATTTAACATAGGAACAACACAGAGTGCCTCTGTGTACTCGACTGTTCCATTTTTCTTTCAGAGATAGCGTCATGGCAGAGAACGTCTCTATGCAAAAATGCAAAGTGAGCAGTTGTAAGCTTTGCAAAGACAGTTTGTTCTTCACTGACCCAAGGCCTAGAGCTAAACAAGAGAGAGGTCACTGAGGACTTAGCCTATTACGATGGACTCAAATATCTGTCCTATATCTACTGGTTGGAAATAGCTGGAGCCATTTGAGACCGTTTTAACCTCCGATCACATTGTTCTCCCTGCTGGGTTGCGCCATAAAGATGATAAACCTAACAGTTATAATGTAGCAGCATATATTCCATCACACCACAAAATGAGTCTGAACCACAAGTGGCTGCTGCTCATTGCTGCTGTGCTAAAATTGCACCTGTTTTTCTTTGTTTGTTTTTTGTTTTTTTATTTTGCCTCTCTCACTCTGGCAGCACAGTAAAAATTGAAATGTCATATAAAACGTGACAGGATGCTAATATGTGGCTCCCAGAGGGAATCTGAAAGTGTTCTTGTTGATTTTGTAACTGCACAGAGTCGGCATCTCTCCCATTTTCACCCCAGGAAAAAAGGAAGCGGGGGGAGACACTGAAAAGTTGAGCAAGTTGAGGAATGCTTTAGGGACAAGACAAATTCAATTTCCAAACCCTGTGAAAGAATTGGGAGTAATAGAATAATAATAATAATAAAAAAAAACTATGTATACAATTAGGTCTTGATCTTTTGTATATAAACACACAAGATGTATGCAGATCTATCTGTCCCTCCCAAAAACAGGACAAAGCAGTTATGTTTGTACATAGACATATTTGCCTGTGCAGAATTTTTAACCCAGTGCATTTAATGTAAAATTAACTTTGTGACTGACAAAAGTGCAACACTGTTCATTAGTAGTTCAGTAGTTTTGTTCTCTAAAATAAATCAAGCAAACACGTGCACAGTAGGCACACATCTGTCATAGTTCAGTTATGTATGTATCAAAGATAATTTAACAGATGATCATTTGCTTTCCTTAATTTTTGGGAAACTTTCAAACAAAAGAAAAATCTAATATTTACTTACAAATGGTATTTTTTGGCAGCAAGGAGTGCTTTTATGTCGACCATTTAAGTAGTTCGTCTCCTAAAACAAAGGCACATTATGTTAGTCAATAATTGTCCTTAAAATAAAAACATATATTTCACTGGTGTCTATTCAATTTATTACCACCTCTACTGAGAAGCGGTGAGATTTTACCCATTGAGAGTTTGGGCCTAAAAGAACATCTCCCCTCTGACAGGATATGAAAAACAAGAGGAGATGAAGGCTCTGTGACCAGCCTCAGATACCACCATGTAGCCTGGCAGCTCGCCAGAGCCACATGAGAGAGGCAGATGTTCCTCTTTTTTTTGGAGGCAGCATTTTCATTAAATAATTTATCCCACACAAGGAGTAATCCGTGAGTGAATGTGGGGAATACATCTCTATTTCCCTCCCTCTCTTTTTATCATAAACATAAATATCGGCTTGACTGGGATGTTGAGATGTGCTGCACGTCCTCCTGGCCCTCATCAAGCGGCTCACACACATAGGGGCCACGTTAAGACGTGAAGGGTCATCCCATAGGCCCAGGTGGATGAATGTGAGCAAAGTGTGTACAGTACATGTGTATAAGATGTACACAGTTTTGTTTGAGAATATCTATGCACACTGAGGGTTGCTCCCATAAAGCAAACCTCTAGTTAAGGCTGTGATTTGAAGATGGTCCAGACAGACACAGTGCTCTCTAGGAGCAGTTAGTCTCTGATGACCCTAGCCCCAAAGTGAGGGTAAATATTCACAAGTGTTTTAAAAAAAGGAATAAAGGAAAAAGAGAGCAAGTAAAAGGTGGTGGTGACGTATGTTCAGTTTGACCTCCGCTCTGTATCCTGACAAAAGCTTCCTGGTGTTATGAGCATGCATTTGTGTGCCTCTCTAATGTGACCGGGTGGCAGGAGGTTGTTTGCCACCGATCATCTTTACCCATTTTCCCCTGGGGACTCTCATCCCCTCCCTGACTCCAGCCACTCCATCAGGCTCAAGGTCGGTCTCACACACACACACACACACACAAACACCATCCTAGTAATGACAATACTCAGTAGTGTGTCAGAGTGCATTTATTAATGGCTGCAGACATTTCCCAACAAATAGATTATTAACTTCTGTCTGAGTAATGTTTGCTAACAGTTACTAAGCCCAGGCCCAATTCTACCCCACCTTGCCTCACCTCTGCTCTCCTGATCCTGCGCTCTCCTTCCCTCGTCCTTCCCAGGGTCCAGCCTGGCAGTGTATGATGAATGGGACAACATTACTCTTGTCCTCTGTTGGCCTGGTTTAGCTGCTCCAGCCCATCTTCCCCCTTCTGTCAGTCAGTCTGTCTTAGCCGTTCTGTCTGGGATGGCTTAAAGTGCACGCTACTGCACAACCTAAACTCTAGGTTTATTTGTTTTGGCCATACCCAAAGAGGACACTGCAAATGGGCCCCTATATCTTTAGATAAGTTACAGGAATTAGGTTAGAAACATATTTTTAAGAAATCTATGGCTTTTTTTTTATTCTGTAAGGTGGAATATGTATCCAACAAGACTATTTATCCAATTAAGATTTTTAACTATGTAACATTTAAACCTTTAATTAAACCATGCTCTATTTTTCCTTGGGTTAAACACCCTTTGATTCATCACCTCGGTCTGCACAGGTTGCTAACTTTGGTGTACCTTTAATTACATATTCATATTCAAGCAACAGAAAGAGCTGTAACATCCACCGTTTCAAATGGTTTTGGAAGAAAAAACCCATAGAACGAGAGTACATTGCTCTGAAGTGAAGGGATCACATCTTCAAAAAAGTAAATCAAATATGCATCCTCTCTGTGCTCATTACAAATTTATGACTCTTGTTAAAAGGCAAGGTGGTGGCTGCCTTCTTACATGTCTGACTTTCAAATTCAGACGACACCGCTGTCAACTGTTGTGCTCCACATTCTGTCCAATGAGAGACTGGGAGGGCTGAGTCTGTGCCATCTTCAACACCCTATTCGGTGAGAGCCTCGAAGAGAGTTACTTTGGGTGGATGAGAGCACGAGATCTCACCTACAGCGCAGCGAGTGCTTGGCGTAATCCTTTGATGCATAGTTCATCAGTCAAGAAGTTCAGTTGGTTCAGCCACTTGTGTGTATGTGTCTCAGAGCAATAACAGTTGGGGGAGTAGACATTGCTGAATTAGACATAATGAGCATCGGGATTTGCTATAGCAATATGAGATAGTTTGCTGTTTCTGTAGCAACTTTTAAGAAAGTGTGCTCACAAGCACATTCAAATCACCCCAACACCCACAACCGCGCTCACAGTCATACAGGACTCTGAAGCTCATTAGAAAATTTGTTTGTTAGGTGCTCATTATGAATGACTTAGTGGTCATGAGGTGTGAAAACTATCATCATCATTATATGAGAGGAATGTAATTAATGCTTAAAAAATTTTGAATAAGTTTATTTCCGGCAAAGCAGGGCATTAAACCACTGTACAGTATGAGATTTAATTCTCTAATGGTCCCTGTCAGCGCACAGATGTATCTAAAACAGGCACATTCTAGTCACTCCCAGTGTGACCCTTCAGTACTCCAGAGCCAAAAGTCCTGCCAGCAAAATACAGTGAACACAGTGTCACACCTCAGTCGACAGCTGTCACCATTTGGTGTAACAGCTCTACAGTGCTACGGGGAAGTCGTACAAAACGACAGGAGCAGCCTTCCATGCTGGAGCCCCATTGGATTCCCCACCACCTTAAAGAGCAGGCAGATGCAGAGGCGGAGGCCTCAACGTGGGGTTGGGTTGTGGGCCGAACGTGCAGTGCATGGGTGTTAACTGAGACGCAGACAGGAGACGAACACAAACCCTGACAGGATGGCAGACGAAGGCTGCCGGACAGACGATGAGCTGAAGAGGAAACCGGAAGACAGTGACACACACCATCAAGCGTCAGTGCCAGAGCCACACACATGCCCACTTACCACCATCGTTCGTATCCACTCAAAGCGCCAGGAAGCCAACATATCCTCAAGGATATGGCTGTTATCACAGCTCTCCTCCCATGGGCCTGGTTTAGGGTCCTTGTGGATAGATTACAGTGAGATTTTCTCTTTACAACCCAGAGAAATTGAGGTGAAAGGGTTAAAGGAAAAATGTGGATGTTTTACAACTAGGGTCTAACGGTTAATGTTTTGGCCAATATAACTAGGCTGTGGCATATTGTAAGAATAACACTGTTTTCACCAAATGCACCGCAGAGACCACACACCTGAGTACTGCACTGAAAACAACCTTAGCTTCACCTCTGTTTAGACTTCAAAACGGATGCATTTGATAAGTAAAACTGCGCTGATTTAAAAGCAATGTGAGGTTTGTATTTCCTTGGGTCCACTAAGCTACTGCATAGTTATATCCAGAGCAGTACTCATGTCTATAATCTCTACAATGACAGTAGTGAATATATAGTAATATAAACTGCGTTCACCTAGGTATACTGTTCAAAGCTACAAAACAGAACCACAGTGAAAAAATAAACAATAAAATACCATTTAAATAACAAAGGTCAGAGTTAAAGTGTTAGGAGAATGACAGAGTCTGAATGAAGAATGGAGAAAAGAGAGAATGCAAAAGACAAAGCAAGAGATATGTATCTGGGGGAATACAGATAGTGAGAGATGGTGCACCTGATGTATGTGTGTGACAAAGAGGAAAAACAAACAAATAATGCGGCATATTTTGCATACAGAGACAATACCCCTGCATGGGTCTTTCACCCTCCTTTTTGTTTTCATTCCTCCCCCTATTAGCCAAACATGATTAAAATGCAGTTCCTACCAGCGTCTCTGCTGAACAATGGGGGAAAAAAAGAAAGTGAGATGGAAAGAAAAATGAAGCGGAAAAGTCAAAAGCATCTTTTACAGTGTGACGCTTTTTATCCTTCACAGGCTGCAAGAAAGAAAGAAACAACACAGACATTCAAACTTTTTTCTTTCCCTCCCTCCCTTTGCCTCTCTCCCATTCTCCTCTGCAGCTGAAACCTCCCCCCCGATACCCAAGGACAAACCCACTGCATCACAAGCTCAATAACCTCCCCAGAACAACATTTCAGTCGCACTTTTTTCCCAGAGTATTGATACAATTCCCAGCGCTCTCTTTAGTCCAATTACATTATGCCATGTCGGTATCTGAGCGATCAGCGTGGTGCGTGACTGGGACTGAGAGAGAAGTGCCGGGTCTTGGGAAGGTGCTGTGGAGCTCCGTACTGTCTACTATCTGGAGATAAACCAGGAAACCATTTTTAACCATACTCACACTGAGACAAAGTGTGTGCCTTATTTAACATTACATGGAGCAGAGAGTCTACACAATATAGGAGACAGAAGCTTAAACAGAGGAGAGGAGAGAAAGAAACAGATGCACCGTGTGTTAAAATTAGGAGCTGAAAATGGCAGTGAGGTCTACAAGATGAGAGCTAGATACATACATGTGCTCTGTGCGTGTGTACATGTACATACATGAGTCATGCCTACAGGAAAAACGCACCAGAGAGTGAAGCTGCCACAGCACCATACATGTAAATTAGAAAGAGATAACTGTGGGCTAGGAAGACGGCCGTGTGGCAGAAGAGACCAAGAAACAGAGGATCATGTATGCTCTTGTAGACACAGTGGACTCATCAATAAGACATCTGAAAGAGCCATGATAAAACTGCAGAAACCAGATGTGCATTTTAACTTGCTGTAACCTTAGAATTACCACATCAATACTCTTCATCGGTTGTCAAGCAAGATATATTCAGTTTACATTAGAGAAAGCTATCCTAAACTTCTCAGAACTGTATCATAATCCCATAAGACATAACTATAAGTGCCTGTGCCTTAACCGGTCAAACACAGTCTACAGGTTACGGTTTGACCTCCATGTATAGGATATAGTATGAAATAGTGTGAGAAAATATTTAATCACTGAATCATGTGGAATGTCTGGGGATTCAGATACATAAATAAAAAAAAAAAAAAAAAAAAAATTCTGGTTTCACAAATCAATGTGTTCAATATAATGAATAATGTCAACTCTATATTTACCCTCAGCTCTGCACATGAAAGAGGGAAGGAGAAAATGAGCACAATGCGAAAAAATAACTTTTTTTGCCAGTGTATGTGTGTCTCTGTATGTGTGTGAGAAAGATATGGATAGATAGACATTGAGAGAGAAAGAAAGAGGGAGTGCACCGAGCAGTAAGCCTGTGAGCAGGACATGATTGCAGTGTGTATCTTATCTGTGTCAGGTCCTCCTGAGGCTAGTGGAGCCTAGCTGAGCGGAGCACGAGCGCTTCAGTGACCAGTCAACCGTGTGAGGGTAATCTCCTCACTCCTTCAGTCTCTTTCTCTCTCTCTTTCCATTCCTTTTTCCAGTAACACCCCCCAACCCCCTGTGAGGCAGCTGAGCCAGTGCACACACATAAGTGAGACACTCACACAAATACACAAACACATTTACACGCACAAACTATCGCACCCATCCAGAGCCTTGAGGTGATTGCCTCATGCCAAGTCTTGACAGTGAGCCCACAGGTGAGAGCAGACATTACAGGCTACATTGCCCATGCAGCCAGTAGCCTGTAAATATACAAGCGAGTTGTCTGCTGTGCCATCTCACACTGCCCGCATCTCACAATGTTACTTTAGCTTGAAAGATACTGAAAAGGCACATACAGGCACAGAGCACATTTTTTAAAATGATTAAGATAGAACAGAGAAGATAATCGTGTTTGCTTCATCTTGGGGATGTAGGGACGGTTGATGCCAGTAAGATATCTGACATGAGTGCTTGAGACCATTTTCACAGCAGATATTTTGACACGTCATAGTAGAAAATTACAGGTGTAACTAACGCCTTTGACAATTTCTCCACTTTCTTCCACTTTTCCCACTTTTAACCAGTCCTCTATGCAGCTGACTGTCATGGCTCACTTGGGATCCTACACCGAATGACACCGCTGTTAATGTCATTATGTTTACCCTGTGCTTTAAGGACCATGTCTGCAAATGTCTGCACCAACACAGGTCTATTACATTCTGGGTGAAAATTCTCCCAAGATCATTAAAAAAGTAAATAATTCCCAGTGGCAACTACATCTCTGATAATATTCCAGTAAAATATAATCACTTTGTCTAGGAGGCTGACAAATACCAAAATGACAAGTAATCCTTCACTCAGTGGTTCAGTTTTATTGTTAGCATTACAGCTGTGTAGTTGGTGAACTTTAGCAGTTGATCACTGTTTACTTTTATGACACGTGCAAAGCTCATGAGAATATACAAAGGGCACAATATAAATCAACCATATACTTTCTAAGTTCACAGTTTCAATAACTCTGGGACTTAGATCTATATACTGAATCACCAAAGCTCTTTAAAGGAAAAGGTGCATCTGCAACTTGCCACCAACCTTAAAGTTAGTTTAAATGAAAATACAGTTTAAAAAGTGGGTCAGTGTTGTTAACATTATGTGTGTGTAGGAAATGAGAATCAACCTTCAGTGTTGAAGGTCAGTGTGCACACACACAAACACAAAAGTGTGGAGGAGCAGGGAAAAAGAAAAAGCACAACAGTTCATGTCTAACATTCTTTTCCACTGTATGTGCTTGCTGGCTTGGCTTTAACAACTGAGCTGTCCCCATCAATTAGTCTAGATGCTGGACTTTAATTGAGATTAAGTGACTAATATCAGTACTTGCTCACAAGAAAGACACTTTTCACGTCTGCCCAACATTCTGTTAAGTCAAAACACATGTGGTTATCCAAGGCAAAAAGCCTGCAAGGGGTCCTCTATGCAATGAAAAACAGGTGCTCTACTTTTTGGCCATGTAATACCTCAGTTAGCCTCTGGAGCAAAGGTTAGCCAGCTAATAGCTGCCTTGTGGTGCATTGGAAGAGCCGTGCGCATGTCCGGAGTAAAGATCTGGGACGGAGTGTACATACTTGCAACATATGTTTCAAGTTCAATTAAAATGAGGCCTTGGCACATTTATTAATCTCGTTTTCCCCTCTCCTCTCTCCCTTTTCTTCCTTCTCTCCTCTATAGACCTGTGCCATAAAAGAGGCCTCCTTTGACCCGTCCTTCATACTTACTCATACAATCTGAAGCCGTACCTCATATCCAGTGTAAAAGACTTCATGGCCAATGTAAGAGACAAATTTGTTAAGCCTTGAAACTCCATTTGTTCTGCACTTAACCAAGTTGGAGGGAGAGCACAGGGAGAATGTGTTCAAAAATGAAAAAAATTCAGGAAAAGGGATGACTGAGGGAAGGGTATAAGGAGAGTGGGAGGAGAGAGAGATGTAGGTGAAGAAAACAGAAAAATGCCCCCCTTTCAACTTCCCTACAGCTCAAATGAAATGCTAACAGTAGAGGAGAGCAATAGATCAAAATGTATGAAGCCAGAGTTGGTAAATTGTAGCCTTTGTGGCGGCCGTGCTATCCAGCAACCCAGCCCTGTGTGAGCACAGAGTGCAAGGCCGTCTTATATGGAATAATCAGTTTGGTACCAAATCTGACAGAGACCACACAAGCTGCTGCTGCACCTCATTTCAATGTGAAAGTCCAAATGTATTCATATCATCTTCAGCTTTTCAAATGGCATTTTTTTTCCTTGAGAGGAGGTAGAAATTGCAATGATGGAGGACAGATGTAAAGAAGGGGTATAAAAAAAAAAAAAAAAAAAAAGAGATTCAAGGTTGCCTGCATATCTTCAGTCTGTGGCCCTATGTACATTTCAGTCTTGGAAATTCACGGCCATAAATCTTGGCTTCTGCGTCACTGTGGGAGAGGATGTAATGCTCCTGTATCTTTGTGTGCTCATCATCCAACTGCCTGTCTGACTGGCTGACTTACTGGTGGGATGACAATTTGATCATCTGTGCTATGTGGGGTTTTTTTTTTTACCCTTTTCTTGCAGACTTGCTCTTATTACTGTTCAAAAATGGGAGAGGTTGTTGTAGGGTTGCAATTGTATAAGTAAAGTGTCCACAGGCAAAAAAAAAAAAAAAAATTCTGATGTCAAATTGCCTGGACAAAAGCCTTTATAATTACCATTATAAACAACCAAAGTTTGCCTCCACAAAGATTACCAAACCAGACCATGGAAATGATCACATCTTAGCCTACTAACCTTTATATTGCTGGAGTGTGGCTATATGGCATTGAGTATCAGCTCAAGTAATTTCAGAGTCCAGATTGCTCAGTCAAGGTACTTTACAGCTTTCACAGTAAAAGATTTGGATTTCGCTTACATCAATGCAAGAGTCTGATCACCTTGGAGTATCTAACAGAAAAGCAGACAACGCAGTGGGTGGATAAAAAGCCGTTCCATTTCAATTACCATTCCCATGTGGAACGTCGACAAGGTACTGTATCCTATTCAGTGCCATTTGTTTCAGTAACTGTTCCTACAGTGTAAACAAGCAGAGGCAGTAAAGCAGCCACCTGTTGTTACCTGATAATGCCTGGACAAGCCCAGATGCTGTTTTACTGGGACATAAAGGAGCAGTGAATGGACCTAAATAGCTAACTAAGCACTTTATATGGATGCATGTTCTCAGGAAGCACAGCCTAAGCACAACGCTAGTAATGTAAATTCAACAATGTTATATGAGGATAAAGGATAGTGCACTGAAGTCTAATAAAAGCCCAAAGCAAAGCAAACCACAAGAAAGAAAGGTGAGGAACGCGTTGTGTATATGCTTACAGAGAAAAGTTTTCAGAAGGTTAAAAGGTTGTGCAATCTTTGTACATGTGTTTGCGCCTCAGGCAGTAAGAATAACTGAGCAGGGGAGGAGAAAGGAGGGGAAGATGGAGTCATCTTGTTTGTCTGTTTGTGTTTCCGGTCTATGAAGCAATGTCAACCCTTCCCGAGGCAGTGTGTGTGTGTGTGTGTGTGTGTGTGTGTTCACATATGTTGTGTGCGAGTGCATCCCTGTCACAAGACATAATTACCTTGTCATCTTTGTCAAAATCCTCATCCTCGTCCTCCATAAGGTCCTCCACTGCTTGCTGACAGTTGCAACAGAGGAAAGAGAAAAAAGAGAAATACAAATGTTTATAAAACAGCTATAGCACAAATCAACTCTAGATAACACAGGGCTAATGCAATCAGAACAGCCAAAGAGGCACATTAAATCTGACTGGTTATATATACATCTGGCAAAAGTTAGTTAATGAGTATGGAAAGCATGCAGATAGCACAGAGTTGGGTTTGGTGTGTGCTGATATGTCATGAGCTTCAGGATGATCTTGAATCTAATTTTGGAAACATTCTGTTGTTCAAATGTGTTGGCGCTTCTGGAAACGTAAGCAAATGCTTTGGCTTTGAATTTCAACAGGCTGGGGATTAAAGTCTATTCATCCACATTGCACAAAAAGCTTTTAAACCTTGTACTATTCGGCAGGACGAGACAGCAGAACCCTTCCTCTTCTGATTCTGCTCGCTCTCTTCTGACCTCTTCAACCTTTGTACTCGTCTCCCACCTCCACCTCCCAGTTTCTATGCATTCTATCTATCTATCATTTCACATCCTCTCACAGAATGATGGTCCATGAGAGAAGAAAAAAGAAAGCCTTCAGCACAGAGAGCAAGTCACAGAGAACAGCAACTATGTGCTTCAGTGGTCCACAACCGATGAAACTGGAGCTGGTGTAGCTCTGAAGCCCCCGAGATACTATGATACATACTGTACAGCACAAAGAAAAAATGACAGCGACAAGCTCATGTGCACAGAGTCACAAACACAAAGACCCATTTGGATACATACAGTATAACGATGGTACATGCAGGTTGTAGTTTATCCTATTCACTAATTGAATTTTTATATACATATTAAGAGGCAGTGAAATGTTAAGTCCTTCACATCAAGCAAAGACCTCTATATGTACGTGAGCACAAATAAACAAATGTCTTCACATATGCACAGCGCCCCGAACCAACCAGATTTGCTTCGATCACCGTTTAACAAGAATATATGTGCTTATTGTGTAGTGATACAGTACTTGAGTTATTGTGTCCTAGTAAACATGCACAAGTTCACATATTGAGTCTGACACCTCCACAGCAAGAACCACAGCTCACAGCTGCATCTTATCCACCTCTCTGTCAATCGCACATCAAAGCTATAGTACAAGGTCACATTGTTTCTCCCAGTTTACATAAACAGCCATAAGAGCCCTAAAGCTGTCAACCGACCCCAAACCCCAAAAACCTTGGCCCAGCCACAAGCACCCCCAGCACAGTGCAACCCAGTTTGGAGAAATCCAGAAATCATTACTTCATAAGACAATAGCTTTTGTCCTTTTTGTTTTTCACAGGAATAAGGGGGGAATTATGTGGTGGCTGACATAAGCCTCTTATGTAAATGCAGCTACCCACACTAACAAAGAGAAGTTCAGAACAGCAGTTGTGAGAGGGTAGAGTCAATAATACATGTGTGTTTGTGTGCGTGTTCCATCAGCTCAAAGGGCAAAGTGTTGTGCATGTACGCATGGCGCTCCTTGCTTTAACTGTTGTTAAACTTGCTCTAACTCCGTGTGTATAGCAACTGGTTATTCCCAGATCACTGAGACCCAGTCACTGTCTAGACAAACAAGCTTCACAGTCTTTTTATTGATACAGAATACATCCATTATCACACTATACAAACGGCAGAGAGGGTATTCTTATGCTCAGCTGAGGCAAAAGATGCAGATATGATCATGTCAAATGAAAGCCTCGTGGCACCTCTAGACAAATGAACTATAACTGTTTATAAAGCCATCACGGTTCCTCCCAAATCCTTTCACCCATGCCAAAATACAAACATAATGGATTCCTCCACACAGAGGCTTTACTAGGGCACATCTGGCACATGCTCCGAACTTTAAACAAAGGGAATGAGCATGAGCTAGCTGGAGAAGCATGACCTAGAGAGACAGAGAGAATGATAGAGTCGTTTGTCTCCCCCTGCTCTCTCTCCTCTATCGCCTCTGGTTACAGAGAGAAGTCATGTTTCCTGCAATGAGACACAGTGTAAAATTAATAAATAAAAAGACATGGAACATGTCATCTGCCCTGAAGATTGCCACGGCTAAATGCGCACACTGAAGCTACTGTCTCAGTAAGGGAGGATATAAATTACTTCAGTGCAGCCAATGAATTCAAAACATCTTTTCTCCTCTCTCTGTCTTATTCTTTCTTTCGAAGACCTGTTTGGTGTATGATATCATTTGGCTGCTTATCCTGCCATTATCATGTTGTTTGAATTACTATCATTACACCACTGCAGCATCAAAGGCTTGCTGTCGAGAGGATCGTGTAGAGCTGACACTGCCTGCAGAGCTGCTCCAGTCAATTCAATATCTACCGAGGTGGGGATTAACATATTCAGACCTATCCAAATGATACAGGGATGATTACACTATGCCCCATAAATACATACAAAGATGGGGATAATATAAAATACACACAAAGAATATAAGTTAGTAGAATGACATTGAGAGTTAAGACAACTGTGGAAGTATGAATGCAGCTGTTTGGCCTTTGTGGCTTAGACCTAAAAAGCTGATTTGCAAGAATTAAGTTTCTGGTGCATTGGCTCAGATCCCAGCACAAGCTCTGCTACATCACTCTGATCCTCTCTCACTGTACTTCCCATCAGTGGAAAAACTGTCTGTGAAGGACAAACTGCTGTCCATTAAGTAGCATCCTCTTGTTTCAGGGTCTGGAATTCTTAAGTCCATCCTTGCATGACTGTTGTTTTACTATTCAGTGATACTTGACAGCTTTAACGCTAGAACTATGACACTTGTATGCTTTGCACTGTCATGTCAACGCAAATATATATTCAGCCCTACAGTTCTTACAAACCTCACACACACTGAATGACTGAGATGTTGATAGTTCCTTTGTTGTTGTTGATAGTACACTTTTTCATGTTCCTAGGGATTATTACTGACCCTCTGCTTACAGGACAGTAGTGTTATGGTGAATCTCACCACGATCTTCAGCCCATTTTCTTAAATCAGAGCAGCACTGGCAGCTGTGCAGTATCTCAAGTGTGTTCAATTGAAAACTGAGCATTTTGATTCATGGCCAGTTTAAATCTTATTAACCACCTAACTGTAACAAAGTTAACTCTGATGACAGAGGATTATCACCGCACTTTATATAACTTAGCTCTTTTTTAAGTGATACAAAGTTAAAAAAGGCAAAATAAGTATTAAACTGGGATTACAAGCAAGGATAAAATTGGTCTGGAAACAAAAATATATCCCAAGGTTTAATTCCAAATAATTAAGAAATGCCATCTCCATAATTAACTACACATATGTTCCATATAATGATCATATAACTACACTGTATGGAGACATGAGAGAGGTTAAACCTGACTTGACAATTCAGGAACAAACAAACTGCACTTTGATGCTACTTTTATGGACGGGAAACAGAACAGACCCTGTCCGGATCAATAAGACAAGTGCACACCAACACAGTGCACAGAGGGAAGGTAAAAATCTACCACTTGAACTAGTAGCCACCTAATTTTCACCCTGCCTCTAAAATGCCTCTCACCTTGCCCTTCTCTCTCCCTGGCCGGGCTGACTTCCACTATCTCCCCTCCTAATCTTTCCAGTGACAGCTGCAGAGGGAATTGACGCCAAGGCAGACATCTCAGCAAACATGAAGATATACTTTCTCCTCCTTTTTCCACCCATTCCTCTAGCCCTCCCTCCCTCCCCTCCTCCTGCTGCTCTCTCTTTGATACGTCAGGGGGTTTTAACCTCTCCAGCTGCTGAGGTTTGGCCGACTGGATGGCTGGGGGATCTCAAGGCCCTACTTGGTATGCACTGTTCACAAGTTTATGTGTGTACATATTGCCTGCACCACAGTTTCTGCAGACTGGGGGAGGGCTGTGCGTCTGATAAGGGCTTCTGGCTGAGCCTGGCTGACCCACACAGGCCCTTCACAAGCTGTCAGAGCTGTGGCCCTCAGAGGGGGGCCCTTCCATCTGTACTGCCCCAGCCAAGGCTCACCCAGCAGGGGGCTAGATACGGTTGAGGCCGGGGTGCTACTGCAGCTGGAAGCCGGGGGTGGGGATGAGAAGGGCAGCTCCATATTCATGCAGTCAACGCCAAATATGTGAGCACTGGAAGAAACTGATTTTTAGAATAGTAAAGTAAGCATCACTGCTT